GTTCCTGGCCAGCCCCCCCTTGCTTATCAGTCAATGTCCAGTCAGGTGTTAACAAATTGTCCCTGTCAGGAAACGGTCCCTGTCTTCGTGCATTCTTTTGTGTTGACTTGAGATGGCTGATGCTTCTCATGGAACGGTACTGCTTGGTTTCAATTCCTCCTGGTTTCTTCCCTGTGTCCCTACCCCCACTACTCCTTTCCCCCATTACGGATGTCAGGCTGTCAGTTTGTGATGCATAGCGTAGCAGAATGGCAGTCATGACAGCAGACATTACTAGGAGTATCCATGGTAAGCAGGGAACGGGGTATAAAATGAGGTCAAGGCCATCCAAATATCTGATGGATACTGCCCCATAAAGACATTACTGTCACAGAGAAGGCCCCATCCTGGATCCAACCCAGTGATCCTGTTTAACAGAGAGGTCTTGGAGCAAGTCTACTTGGCCAGATCTGGTGGGATGGGCAGGGATAGTGACAGGGGGTCCTGCAAGTGATGTCCTACGCTTTGAATTCCCTACTAGAAACCCCTGCAGCTTGCAAAGCCATGGTGTTGTTACACAGATGTACTGTGTGCACCCAAAACTGCATGTGCCATTGTATTCTTGAACAATTACAGCTTCTGAACGCTCTTCAAAGGCTGCCCCATGTACAGGGTGTTGCAGTAGTCCAACTGGGAGGTGATTTATTCATCCCTAAAGAAAAACAGACTGATTTGGCAGAATTTTAGAGCCGCTTTAGCAACTCTGTTTTCCGGTAAGCTTAACCCTTGCCCTCCTCCTTCTTAGATGTTCTCACCAAGGAGGACAACAGCTTCATTCATTCGCTGTCTGGGACCAGAATCAAATCTGCCTCATTTTTCCTCCCCCACAAATCCACAAACCTGAAGAAAGCTGAAGAGCTAAAGGAGAGAAAATCTATTTGTTAGGAAGGAACGGGAGACAAGCTGGAGAAAGAAAATGCATGTGATTGATGTGGTATGTGGGAGACCCTGGGTAGCAAGAGCATCAAAGTATGACCTGATGGATAGAGAGCGGGTGGACCGCCTGTTGTCTGAAGAGAAGCATAAGTCAACTCTACTAACAAGCACCTCCCTGGGATGGCAGGACAGAGACACTCGGTGAATAAAGAAAGTGGGCCTGTGACAGAGAGAGAATAAAAACAGGGGAGGGGAATGCTTTGCTAGAAGCGAGGATGAGCAAGCAATTGAGAAGTGGGCAGAGGTAACAAGATTTCTTGTAGAGCTCACCTGATAAAGAGATTAAGATTTTGGGCAAGCCCTGGGAGATCCTCAGCCATGGAAGCTATCTGTGTGGTTTGAGCTACTCATTGTCTCCCTACTTAGCCCACAGTGTAGTTGTTTGGGGGAGACAAAGAAGAGAAGGGTGGGCTATGAAGAGCCCTGGTGGCACAGTGGTTAGTGTGCAGTATTGCTTCAGGCAAACTCAGCCCACACCCTGGCGTTCGATCCTGACAGGGTTCAAGGTTGACTCAGCCTTCCATCCTTCCGAGGTTGGTAAAATGAGGACCCAGATCGTTGGGGGCAAAAGGCTGACATTGCAAAGGGCTGTACAGCACAATGGGGTGGCATATGAGCCTAAAGGTTATTGCTATTGCTATGCAGACCCCTTTGGACCCTGGAAGAACAGTAAGATAAAAATCTAATAATGAAATATTGTTAGAATGCTGCCATTCACACCTTTTATATTTGGCCCTTGTTCTGGATAGTTTTTCCCCCAAAGTCTGGACTGGGGAAAATTCATAAAGCTATGTCCATAAGTCATCTGAAGATACCAAAGATTTAGAAGGCACTTACTTGGCTGACTTGGGTATGATCTGCAGTATTTGCTCACAACAAGCATCCAGTTTAGTCCTTGGATGCCAAATACCTTGCATCTATCTGCAGTTTAGAGATGGCAAGTGGGGTTCTAGGTTCAACAGCAGATTGGTAGTGAACTTGGAAGTCAATGGACGCCTTTGTAGATGTTTCCTCCTAAGATTAGTTATCATTCCTTGAGGGATCCAACAGATATTTCCAATTAATGTCTTCTCTCCCTGCCAGGTAGTTTCCATCTCTGTTGGGTTTTTTTCACAATCTTGTAAAAATCTAGCTGCAACTCTCAAGTGTTTCTAAACTTTGGCAACTTTGAAATGGGTTGACTTCAATGATGGGATTCAAATATGTGAACTACCGGTTCTCTGTGTGGATGCCGCTTCTGGAAGTCTGTTCTGGGCCTAGGTAACAAAGAATTAGCTACTGGTTGTGCCGAACTAGTGCGAACTGGCTGAATCTCACCACTGGTGAATTCTGGGAGTTGAAGTCTACCCATCTTAAAGTGGCTAAGATTGAGAAACACTGAAGTATTTAGACTTGTCAGTAATCCCATTAAGCTCAGCATGAGGCGTATAGCTCAGTCTCCTAATGTGTTTTTTAAACTATTTTTTTTAAAAAAATCAGGAAAAAAATATTCCAAATATTCATATGTGTAGCATCCTCAAACATATGGAGACTTGTAAATATCTTTTCTTGTTCTATGTAATTGAGAACATAAATCGCTGAGAAACAGTTTTATTAACACAAATTATCCTGCTTCCATTTCCAGACTGGTAAAATTCCCCTGATGTAAGTTTCTTTAGCACAAACCTTTTCATTCCAAGCTCTCTTTTAATTGTAAATATTGCTGTGTGCATGCAGCAGCTTTCCAAAGGTGCTAAGATGCTTTGTGGGGAGATATGTGACATTTTGAAGGGCCAGCTAAGCAAATTTACCTCCACTGAAAGCAAGTACAGATAGACCGCGACTTACAACCACAGTGGGGGACCAGAATTTCCATTGGGAAGCAAGGTGGTCAAATGAGCTGCATCCAGTTTTATGACCGCTTTTCCTGCAGCTGTTAAGTGAATCATGGGGTTGTAAAGCGTCCCACTCACATCCCACTCATGTCAGAAACACCAAGGTGTTTCCAGGTTGAAAGGAGTAGCTGGTGGCATCACCTGAGGATGCCCAGTTGGGGGGGTTCCTTTCATGTTCTCAGCAGGAGCTGGAGTGAAGAACAGGAGCTTACTCCATCCCACGGCAGCACTTGGGTCTCAAACTTGGCCTTGCTGCTTGTCAATCCAGCATCCTAACCAGATGAGCCACAGCTCTCCTTTCTCCCATTGACTTTGACGCAAGCCAGATGGGAAAGTCACAAATGGCAGCAGCCACGTAATCTGGAGGAAAATTGCACCAGAAGTGTATATTGAAAGCAATCCCCAATGTCCCAAACCCTCCCCCTTGTGAGATTAGTCCAGTCAGATTCCCAATGTTTTGGGAACCTGGTGCTTCAGGTGCCGCTGTCAATTCCTTTCCCAGGGCCATCGTCCTTGAAGGTAGGAAGTTGGCTCGCTTTGACATCTCTGGTTCCTGTTAGTGTTCATACTCCCTCAAATTCCCACAGTGTTCTTTCACATCTCTGACACTCGTCCCCTCCCAAATGCCCCCTCTCCCTCAGTTAGGGCAATTTCTAGTGCATGTCAAAGCGATGATAGGCATATGACGGCTAAACTTCCCCTTCTATCCTGCAGCCCTGAGATTCCCTCATGGTGTCCCATCCAATTATTAGCTAGATCTGATTTGCTGAGCTTTCTCAAGATCAACAAAAGAAAGTGTGAAGAATCTGAAAGGCCCACTAAAAGAGTTTTTGTTTAGGCCCAATCTGTTTCGTCAACTGTGTTGCTTTTTGGAGGGTGCTGTGACAACAGAAACAATACAACTTCAGATGCTAAAATGATTTGCAACCTCAACGTTCTTAAAAATGAGCAGTTTTATTTATTAAAAGAAAAGGGGGGGAAAGAGAGAGAGAGAGAGATCCTTACATTTATTTCCTGAACTGACAAGGACAATATTACTATAATGAACACAAAAATAATTATGCATCAGCACAGAACATTAACATTGTTTCTAATGCAAAGAAAGAGATAAACAAACAAAAAAGATTACTGCAAAGATGAAATAAGACAGAAAATTGTTCTACCTAATGGAAAGTATGTGAATGACTCAACAGGCATGTACTGCAAAACCAAAGGAGATGTTTACTTTTTCAAGTTCAACAAAGATCAGCCAGCAATCAACCTGCCGTCTGCTGTGACATATTCCAGAGAACCCGGAGGGGGGGGGTTTAAAAAAGTCAATATTTTAGTCACAGCCATGTAATTGAAGCTCCGCCCACCTTTTATGTTTATTGTAGGTGGGCTTTCAATTTTTGGCTGTGGCTACCATGTTGATGTTTTGACCCACTCATGTAGACACTAGCAGCTTGCACTTTTGGGGGGCAGGAGGAATCCTACATTCAGAGAAATTCTTTGGTTTCATATTGTGCTAGCCCATTGCTGGCTCAGGAATTCTGGGAGTTGAAGTCCACGTGTCATAAAAGAGCCAAGGCTGCCTATCCCTGGGCTAGCCTATTGTCTGAATTGGATCCATCTATCTAATGTGAAGGAAAAGAGAAATCTGTCTGTCTGTCTGTCTCTCTGTCCGTCCCTCCATACATCCATACATCCATACATCCATCTACCTACCTACCTACCTACCTACTTACCCACCCGTCCATCCATCCATCCATCCATCCATCCATCCATCCATCCATCCATCCATCCATCCATCCATCTATCTATCTATCTATCTATCTATCTATCTATCTATCTATCTATCTATCTATCTATCTATAATTTATCTCTATGCCAAATCATATTATTCACTCTGTTTAGTTGCTAAACAGAGTTTAGCTGATGTTCTGCTGTTCTGCTTTTTGGCCTGAATACATGACACCCAATTTTTTCTTCAAAAAAAGCTTCCAATTTCTCCTTTGCTCCTTGTGGGGCTGAAGCAGTTAAACTCATTAGGCTCAACTAATTTCTCTGACTACTTGTTATTTTCTCTGGAAGAGGAACTGCCAGAAGCTATGGTAAAGAAAGATTTTATGACTTTTAGCCTGTAATGTTATTTCTCTCTTCTTTTCCTAGGAGGTGAGAGCCTCTGGGAAGATTTCTATGAAAGGAGATCAAGGAGAAAAGGTGAGCTATATAAGGAAGATTTAATGGAACCTCCAGTTGTCATATTAATTTTATTTATTTATGTACTGCAGCTTCTACGCTGTTCCATTCAAACGGGAGTCTGAGCAACCTACATTATTCGATACAGGAAAATTAAAATAATAATCAATACAACAAAAAAGAAACAGCAGCCCCAATGCCTGAGGAGTAACCATCAGCTTACTCAAATCAATATCAGGAGAGTTCTCATAATAAGTCTGCTTCCAAGTTGTCTGAAACAGCCAGGTTTCAATACCCATCCATTCCTCAAAAAAAAAAAAAAACAATAGAGTTGGATGAGCTTTTTCAATCTAATTTGGGAGGAGGATCTGCCCTAGAAAAAGGGGGTGGATGATTGAGAAGGCTTTTCCCCACGGTCCCCAAAAGAGAATGGAAACAGATCATCCTTCCCAATTTTATTGGGTAGACAAAAGTCACTGGCAGAAGGTGGTTCTACAGTTATCCAGGTCCCCAAAACAGTAGTTGTGCCTTTGGAAAGAGAGTTGATATTATCTGGTGGCTTAAAAAAGATCTCCAAGCGAGGATATATCCTTCTTATTTAACATAATAATGGAATAATAGCTATAGCAAGTGACTATACCATTTCAGACTAATCTCCAGAAGTGGTGAATGCTCCAACACTGGAAGGTTTTAAGAAGAGATTGGACAACCATTTGTCTGAAATGGGATAGGGTTTCCTGCCTGACTGTAAGACCTCCAAGGTCTGTTCCAACTCTGTTATTCTGTTATTCTCTTATTAAATGATGGTCCAATCTCTTCTTAAAAACTCCCATTGATGGAGAACCCACAGCTTCTGAAGGCAAGTCATTCCACTGGTAAATTGTTCTCATTATCAGAGAATTTCCTTTAGTTCTAGGTTGGTTCTCTCCTTGATTAGTTTCCACCCATTATTTCTTGTCCTGCCTTCCAGTGCTTTGGAGAATAGGTTGACCCCCTCTTTTTTGGGGGGGGACACTACTATCATGTCACCCCTGGTCCTTCTCAGTCCAGCTATTTGCTTGGCTATATGGCAATAGCAACATGGGCCCATCTCAGAGGATAGTTGTGCTTTGTATGTACATGATTTTCTGCTTCCATCTTCATGACACAATGGAACTAGGCAGAACACACACACTCTTTCTCTCTCTTTCTCTCTCTCTCTCTCTCTTTCTCCCTCCCTCCCTCCCTCCTTCCCTCTCTCTCTCTCTCTCTCTCTCTCTCTCTGTCTCTCTCTCTCAGCGTGGATGTTGTCAGTGGTTTTTCTGCTGAATACACTTCATCTTGAGCCCTGCCTTGAGGTAGCCACGCAATTCTCCGAAATCACGTTCTATTAAGTGCATCACACTTCATCTCAAAGGGAGCTTTCTGTGCCCCGGAATTATTCTCTTGCTCAGGCTGAAATGGGATTGCAAGAAGAATTTCCAGCTCCATTTCCATTTCCACTCTCAATTGTAATAAAGTCATATTGTTCGGCAATACTCAGCACGACAATATTAGATACTTTGTGAATGAAGTTTTAGTAGAAAACAAAAGCTATCAGAAGAAATTGCTACCCATCCATTCTACAGTGGAGTCTAATTTGGAAGGCTGCGAATTCTAGTTTCATTAAAATCCCTGGCCATTTTATTTTACCACTTGACGATTTTACAAAATGAATTCTCATTTACATGGGAAGAAGCTGAATAAGATTCTAGCATGGGGTGATATTTTTTTTCAGGACCCCAGATTACAAGAACTCTGCTTTTGATTTGATATTGCTTTATAAAATGATCTGAAATGATTTCCAAGTTAATCCAAGTAACATTTTGGAAATTTGAGCCCTACCAGATTTACTTTCTGTTAGGAAAACAACAACCTTGTCTGGATGTCTTAAGTCTTAAGACAAGTTTGCCAGCCTGGTGTAAGTTACCGATGGAAAATGCATCTGGAAGTACTACAGATTCTACTGAAAATACAACTAGTCTTCATTTAGTGACTGTTCACAGTTATGACGGGGATGAAAAAGTAACTTTGTGACCAATTCTCACATTTGGAACCTTGATAGGTCTATAAAGCAGGGAAAAGCTGAAATCAGGTCATAAGCAATCATGGTTTCACTTAGCAACCACTTCGTTTAACAAGTTGTAGTTGCTAAATGAGGGCTACCTGTACAGATGAGAACTTGAGTTTGGATGTGCTTCCCATTGGGTGCATCTGAATGCACAATCCAGTATATCTAAATCTATGTTGAAATTTGCATCTAGTATAGAGGTAATCCTCTACTTACAATCGTTTGTTTAGCATCTGTTCAACATTACAACAGCTCTTAAAAAAGGGGATTTGCGACCCATCCTCGCCCTTACAACCTCTGCAGCATTCCCACAGTCATGTGATCAAAATTCGGGTGCTTGTCAATCAGCATCTCTTTTTTGGGGGGGGGGGGATGGTTGAAGTGTCCCAGGGTCATGTCTTCACCATTTGCAACTTTCCCAGCCAGCTTCCGATAAGCAGATTCAGCGAGCAAAGCCTGATTTACTTAACGACCAGATAATTTGCTTAACAACTGCAAGGATTCACTTAACAGCCACGATAGTAACATCCTAAAATTGGTTGTGACCTACTTAACAACCACCTTATTTAGCAAGAAAAATTCTGGTCCCAGTTGTGTTTGTAGCTAAAACTGTAAGGATTGAAGATAGTCTGCGGTCTTTCTGCAGAAAAATAAAAGAAGAAACACAGAAGCAGGCAGCCTATGATAGGGAAACCCCAGAGAGATGTTGCTTCTCCAGGGTCTGCCACACAAGCTTTCTAGCACCAGGTGTGTCAATGGGCACTCTGAGCCAGAGGATTCCAAACATGGCAACTTTAAGACTTGTGGACTTGCTGGAATTGGGTATGTCTAGTTTAACGAAGAGAAGGACGAGGGGGGACACGATAGCAGTGTTCCAATATCTCAGGGGCTGCCATAAAGAAGAGGGAATTAAGCTATTCTCCAAAGCGCCTGAAGGCAGGACAAGACGCAACGGATGGAAACTGATCAAGGAGAGAAGCAACCTAGAACTAAGGAGAAACTTCCTGACAGTTAGAACAATTAACTAGTGGAACGATCTGCCTCCAGAAGCTGTGAATGCTCCAATACTGGAAGTTTTTAAGAAGGGACTGGGCAGCCATTTGTCCGAAGTGGTATAGGGTTTCCTGCCTGAGCAGGGGGTTGGACTAGCTGACCTCCAAGGTCCCTTCCAATATCATCATCATCGTTGTTGTTGTTGTTGTTGTTGTTGTTGTTGTTATTATTATTATTATTATTATTATTATTATTATTATTATCAGAATTAGTCAGGCAGCTATGCTGGAGTCCACAAGTTTTAAAGTTTTTTTTAGTGCAGTGAAATTTTCCCTCTGATGTTCTGGTTTTGGCTTCTAGACAACTGCCCCCCCCCTTGGGGAAAATCTTCCACTTTATTGGTTTGGTAGGAGGAAACTGTGGTTAAACCACACCGCCTCGCTTTTCACAGGGGCCTTTAGCAGCAACCAGAAGTTGGCCAGGAAACAGAGCTGGGTTATTTTTATGACATCTCTAATGGAGCCATCCTACTGAATCCCACTGAATCGGGCAGCACTCCCAAAACAACACCCTTCAGGAACTTAGTGACAGGCTGAGTTGCCCGCGTTTCATTTTATATCTAGGAAGAAAAAAAATTGGGATTCGAGAGAAAAAAAAAATCATAATGTGTTTTATTTTTATTATTTTGACCCAGGGGCTTCACTCGACCATCTTAAAAAGTGCTCAAACAGCCCAAGGCTGATAGCTTGGATTTTATTTTATTCTTATTTTAGCACCCATTATAAGAATGCCCTTGTGGTCCATAGGTGGATGGACAAGTTAATAGTTCCTGTACGTTTGTACACCTCTAGGAATGGATCACGCAATAGACATCTTTTTTAAAAAAAAAAATGAGGGCCAGAGTAAACAGCAAACAGCTTCTTAGACAAGGTGACCGAAGATCTTCCAAAAGGCAAAATAAGTCTGTGCATGGAGGAGGAGGAGGAGGAGGAGGAGGAGGAGGAGGAGGTGGTGGTTGTTTCTCATCACAATGGCTTTTGGGGCTTTGTATAAAAGACAATTTGCTCTAAAAATGAAGGATTGGAGTAAAAGGCTCAGTAAATTGGGACATTGCTTCAAATAATCCACGGCTTTAAATGCAGAGATGTATAAAACGTTGATGATGGCTGCTGGCCTTCATATTGTCAAGTATGTCTCAAAGGTGCTTTTTCAAAAGGCAACTGGAATTTGTTTTTCCTTGAAGATGTTTTGGTCTTTCATCAAAGAAGGTTCTTCAGTTCTGACTGAAAGGTGGAAGATAGAAGGATTGGCTTGAAAGAGGGGCCAAAGAGGCCATCTATATTAAGATTGAACAGCCCTCTCTCAACAGAGGGGGGGGGATATGACACCACTTATCTCCTGTTTTACAACACAGTCCTTTCAGCTATTCCAAGAAGGTCCCACACCCTTTGCACTATTCAGATGACCCTGAAGGCACAGATAAACCTCCAAGTGGCCTCAACAACTCTGAGAAAGAGTGCTAAGGAACAGATGCCTGCAAGGAATATAAATCTTTTTATCCTCCTCCATTCCACCAGTCAGTCAGAAATGAAGAAGCTTCTTAGATGAAGATGAAGATGTTTCATGGGAAACATCTTCAAAGAAAAGACAAAGTCCAGCTGCCTTTTGAAAAAGTACCTTTGGGACAACCATGACCTGGATGACTGAGAACCTCCACAGACGTATCCTCCAGTAGGCAAAAGTTTTGAGTAACCACGAAAGATCAATCAAAACCTTGAGGAGATGCAGGCCAGTAACCTGGTCAATTTTTCTTTGACTTTGCTTGTCAGAAGGTCACAAGATGTGATCATGTGACCCCAGGACACTGCAACCATCATAAATCCATGTAAGCCAGTTGCCAAGCATGCAAATGTTGATGATGCGACTTGGGGATGCTGCAGGTGTGAAAAATGGCCATCAGTCCTTTTTTAAATGCCATTGTAACTGAACGATCATTGAACGAATGTTGTAAGTTAAGGACTACCTTTGAACATTGCAGTAATTCCATCCAGTTCATTTCCTGTTTTGTGATTGCTGCTTTTTTTTTTCCTTTGTGCAGTGTCTTCCATGTGACAAGAGGTCACCATATGCAAATGTAAGTAAGAGGCCAACGTTCCTCCCATTCTGAGATTCCGGCATACTTTTGATGAAGAGCAGTGACCAATCTCTTGGACGTTAGCTAGAACTGCCCCTGAATTGAACTTGTAATTTCAATAAGCAATGCTTGGCTTTTGAACTCTCAGTGGTCCTTCCCTTAGAGATAGCCCTCAACTACAAGCAAGCTCCAGCATCTTCAGTCGGCATGGTCATTGTCCAGGCAAGCTGGGGATTCTGAAAGTTGGGATCTTAAAGCAGTGTTTCTCAACCTTCGCAATTTGAAGATGAGTTGCCTCTTAGAATTCCCCAGTCAGAATGCTGGCTGAGGAATTCCGGGAGTTGAAGTCCACCCATTTTAAAGTTGCCAACGTTTAGAAACACTGCTGTAGAGAGTAGAGAAGCTGTGATCCCAAAGAATCACTTAATGGACATTCTTGATGAGACAGGGCAGACGATAGATGAGGTCTCAAGAAGGAAGAGGAAGCAGGTAGATAACAGAATAACAGAATTAGAAGGGATCTTGGAGATCCTCTAGCCCAACCCACCTTCAAGCAGTACACCCTATACTATCTGAGGCTAATTCAGACAAACAGTAAGTGGAAGGCACTCCTGGTTTTGTGACTGAGGCCACAGAATATATAGAACAGCTGTTAACTGTCCCAACTAGGGCTAAATTCAAATCATGGCCTAGAGAACTTGGGGAGAGATGCTGATTGCAATGCCAGGAAAGTGACTGGAAGAGTAAGAGATAATGAAGGTTGGGGGAGAGTTGAGCATCTTGGAACATAGGCAGAGTGCTTTTCCTTCATGACTGAATAACCTTAGCTAATCTTCATGAGATTAGACTCTCCATAGATAATGAAGACAGTAAGGCTTTCTGAGTCAGAAGCCTTTTATGTTGACAAGGTTTTCTTCCTGGCAAGTCTACTGTAGGAGTGGACCATTTTGGATTGCTCCAAGGAATTCTTATTATTTTTGGACCACTGGGCCTCCAGAAGATGGATGGGTAATGAAATGGGTATTCTGGGATTTTCATTTAACGTATGTTAGGGCTCGCAGCACAAAATGTTAACGCTCCTCATCTCCAAAAAAGCAGGATAATTGGCCACTGACTTTCAGCCACTCTGCTCAGCAGCTGTTCCAAGGTCCTGTCATTGCTTGTAGTCCACTCCTTCAAGAAAGTCTTCTCCTGCTTAATGTGTTTGATTCAGGTTGGAGCTTAAAGCAAGACACGGGACCAAAGGAAGAATGGAAACTCTAGGGAAAAAGCAGGGAAAGCAAACCCAAGCTTTAAAATAACTTGGGGTGGGGTTGGTAGGGGGAGAGGAAAATGATCAATTACTAGTGCAATGCAATTCCAGAACAGATGTTCTCTGACCATTAAGGGACATTAGCCAGCCATTCACATATTCACAGGGTCAACGGGGGTCATTTATGCCATCCAGCGAAACCGACTGTTCCGTACAGAAATCCAAATTAAAGGTTTTCGACAGATGGCTGCCCAGCCTTAGCTTAAATACATTCTGCGAAGGAAAGTCCAATGCCTCCGTTAGTGCTTCGTTTCAAACGGTTTTTACTAATAGAAAGTTTTTGTCTATTGCGGAATCAGAACCTCCCTACATAATTATGCCATGTCCTGCGTTCTGACGTAGAACAACCCCAGTGATTATTCTTGCGACATTTTTTTTCCAAGAATTTCATAGTGTCGTGGGGCTTTGAAGGTCTTCCAGACCAATTCCCTGTCTAAGGCGGGAGACCTTATGCCATCCTTGATTGTCCAATCTTTTCTTGAAAATCTCCAGCAATGGAGCAGCCACAACTCCAGGAAGCTGTTCCCTTGATCAATTGTTCTGAGTGTCAGGTAACTCCTTTCCAGGTTGGCTCTCTCTCTAATGAGTTTCCACCCATTGCTTCTTGTTCTGCCCTCAGGTGCATTGGAGAATATGTCAACCCTCTTCTCTGTGATAGCCCTTCAAGTATTGGAAGACTGCTATCAGTCCTCCTCCAAAACTTCTCTTAGGCTAGACAAGACTAGTTCCCTTAGCTGTTCATCATGTGATTTAGCTTCCAGACCCCTTCTCATCTTTGTTGCTCCTCTCTGCACTCTTTCTGGGCGTCAGCAACTTTTCTGTATCATGATGATCAAAACTGGATGGAATATTCCAAGTGTGACCTCACTAGAGCAGTATAGAGCAGTACTATCACTCTTCATGATTTTTTAAGGGTTCTGTAATATCCCTCCATGATCTTCTTGTCTCGTGGCTGAAAAAGCAGAGCTACTTCAGTCTCTCTTCCCAGAGTTTATTTTCTAGTTCCCTAACCATTCTTGCATGATGCGTGACACCAAGGTGCTCAAGTCGCCATTTGCCCTCCTTATCTCCCAATATGGACATTGCTGCTTAGACATTCTTCCTTGAGAATGCTAGGCTAGAGAGTTTTTTTCTTCCCTGGTGTTGCATATTTTGGGGGTGGGTGCTCTCTTGTTTCAGTAACATTATAATTTGCTTTATAATTTGTTCAAGAACTTTAGTGCTGGGCAGTGCAGGCAAATAAAAAACACTGCAGCCCTTCTCCAAACAGTCTCCCCCCACTAGTCAGGACCCCCACCCAGAAGCGATAAGTGGCTACAACTGACCAAGAAATGAGGTTGAGCAATCAAGTGAATCGAATAATGTTGAAATCACTTGATCTCTCCATACACAGACAGGGTGTCACAAGACCTAGCAGTGTCCTTAGAACTTTTTTCTCTTTTGGCAGTTTGATTTGCTGACTCAAAAGAATTAGCAACAGCTGCAGAGCTGTAACCCTCAATGGATCATTGATTCATCCATTGATCCAATTGTGCCTGCATCCCAGTCATGTGTCTCTTTCCCGGAACTTAGATTTCTGTCTTCTTCCCTCCCTGGAAGTTGACTTGATTTCTAGCAATTTTTCACCTTCGTATGTTTGAGGACATATGCTTTCCATAAATCACTGTCCACATCCTTCCACCCTCACCCATCTCTTTTGTTCTTCTCTGGCTTGCATCCATCAGAACATCTGGATGACTGAAGAAAATGAGGGTGGCTTCCAGATGTTAGCAAGCGTTCCTATGGCAACCACTGAAGGATGACAGGAGAAAGTGGGAAAGGGAGCTTGCAGGAGGACTCATCTTTGCATTGCCCACTTCCCTTCCACGTCTGGTGGCTGCCTAGTGGTTGCACAAGCATTTGTGAAGGGGGAGTCCCACTGACAAGGTGGTGTCTTCGTGACTTTCCTAACGACCTTGGGATTATCTTGGTAGACATAGTGACATGGATCTACCCCTGCCTTAGGGAATAGTCAGATTAGAGAAGACATAGTCTGAAGATGGATGGAGAAAGAAGTTCTGGAGGGATACCCCACTAAGTTCTTAGGCTATAAAAGAGACAGTGGGAGATCTGTACTTTTAGACTTGCAAGATTCTGTTAATGTAGCCTTACAATAGCAATAGCACTTGGACTTATATACTGCTTCATAGTGCTTTACTGCACTCTCTAAGCCAGTGGTTCTCAACTTCTAATGCCGCGACCCCATAATACAGTTCCCCATGTTGTGGTGACCCCCAACCACTTATATATCACCAGGTGCCAGGGGCGTGGCCAAAGAAAAGGGGGGAAAAATGGCAGACAGCCTTGTTTGGCGACCCCCGTGAAATGGTCGTTCGACCCCAAATGGGGTCCCGACCCACAGGTTGAGAACCACTGCTCTAAGCGATTTACAGAGTCAGCCTATCACCCCCAACAATTTGGGTCCTCATTTGACCAACCTCAGAAAGATGGAAGGCTGAGCCAACCTTGAGCCCATCGGGATCGAACTCCAATCTATGGGCAGTGTAAGCCTGCAATACTGCATTCTAACCACTGTGCTATCTTGGCCAATAAAGTAGCATTAGCTCATCTGGTCAAGTTTTCTGTCTGGTCTACCTTGGAAGGCTGATATCATTTTCCACCCATTAAGCAGCTTGTGAGCTTTGCTCTCTCTCTTATCTGACCATTTCTTAGGCACCATCCCCACCCCAATCTCCCAAGGTTATTCCCACATATCACTATACATTACTAAAAATGCAGTTAATTAAAATGGGCAGAAGCAGCAGATGATGCATTCAATAACGTGTTTTATTATTTATGAAGTCAGTGCCTGACATATTGTGATCCATCGGTGAAAGGCCAGAGAGAAAAGGCTATTAAATTGGCTGCCAGGGACAGGGAGTCCCAATGATTTAGAAGCAGCCTCTGGTGAAAGCCCTTGCTCTTATTCCAATGAAGCCAATTCTGCCATAATGGGATGTAGAGTAGTGCTTGTCCATTAGAAATTAAGGTTTGAAGTGAAAGGGGTAGGAGGCATCCTAGATCCTAGTCCATTGTCAGCTAAGCCCCCTAGGTGGGGCTCATCGCCATCTCTAAGAAAACCCAGTGAAATTAACCAGATGACGATCTGATAAGATAAGCACCTTTTGCAAAATCTCTGGAAGTACGTCTGCATGTACGGTGTGTGGCACATCCTGTGAAAGTCTCCAGTGATGCCCTATTTTGGGTCTTGGACAGCTCACTGCGGCCAACTTGCCACAACCATCTTGCTATGGCCATCTTGCCATGGCCAACTCACCACAGCAAGATGGCCGCAGCGAGTGGGCCACGGCAAATTGTCCCATTCTGCCCCTTCCTTGCGAAAAGCTGCTGATCTTAATTAGATCTGCCAAGATACAAGCCGTCCTCAACTGAGATCAGAATTTCTGTTGTTAAGCAAGGCAGTTGTTAAGTGGATGGCACCTAATTTTGTAACCTTTTTGCCATAGTTGTTAAGCAAATCCCTTCAGCTGTGAAGAGAATCTGGCTTCCCCCACTGATTTTGCTTGTCAAAAGACGGCCTGGAAAGTCGCAAATGGTGAATGCAGCTGTGAGCTTTAAGGTGTTTACCTTAAAGAATCTTTATTCACGTTGCATAGCATCTGCACGTACATAGTCGAAGCCAAAATCT